GTGTGCTCTCAATCAAGTCAAGACCTCTCTGACTTTAGTCTCCTCAATTTTCAAATGGTGATAAACAGACACCCTCCCCCTATGACCTACTTCTTTGGGTATTGTGGGTAAATAACTGTAAACTGTGCCACACAAAAGTCATCTTCAAACACCAGTAACTCACATTTATACAGTGCTTCAAGTTTCACAGCGCATCTTCTCCACAACTGTGCAACAGACCACTATTATCTCCATTTTACAGATGAAGAAACTGAGGCCTATGATCCTAAGATCATTGCCATTCAGTGAGGTCAGACTCTTCATGGCCCCATGAACCATAGCACAGCAATACCGTCCACGGGGTTTTCTCAGCAAAGATATTGGAATGGCTTGTCATTTCCTTCTCCTAAGTCACACTGCTAGTAAGTGTCTGAGGCCAGATTTGAACTCAGGTCTCCCTGACTCCTGGCTCATTGCTCTATCACTGAGCTACCTAGCTGCTTCCTAGGCAAAGAGAGGTTAAGTGATTTGCCCAGGGTCACACAGCTAGTGTCTGGGGCTAGATTTGAACTCAGGCCTTCCTGACTCCAGGTCCAGTGCTCTATCCACTGAGCCATTTAGCTGCTTCAAAGATCACAGGACCATAAATTTAGAACTAGAAAGGTCCGTAGAGGACACATGGTCACTCAATGACAGAGCCAGGATTTAAATCTAGGTCTCCTGACACCTTGACCATCTCCTTTTCCTCCAGGCTGTTGTCTCACAATCCTGCACGATCGTTCCCCCCCATGCCTCATCACGACATACAGATCACACACAGGCCAAGAAAGGACCCTGTACCTCATCACAGGGGCAACCGCAAGAGAAGCCCACGAGCAGAAGGAGGACCACCACGTGAAGAACTGGTGGAAGGACCAGGAGCCATCTCAGTAGAGGATACAGTGGATAGATCACTGGGCCTCAACTCAGGTAGACTTGGACTCAGATATGGCCTCAGACACTGACTAGCTGTGTGACCCAGGGCAAGTCACCTCACCTCAGCTGGCCTCACTTTCCTCAACTATAAAATGGGCATAATAACCCCTACCTCCCAGGGCTGTTGTCAAGATAAAGTGAGACAACATTTTTCAAGTGCTTTGTGAACTTCGAAGAACTATACAAATGTTAACTATTATTATTATTATTATTAATTAGTGGGGTTACCCACACCAAGGAAATCACAGATCCTTGAAGTACCACCGACAATAAATGCTGGAGGAATTCAAAAGATGCTGCGCATTGGGAGCCCTCCAGAGGGACTGGGACTGATTGTTTTTTTGTCCCTGTATCCCCAGGGTTGCCCTGCCCAGGGTCTCCCCGAGTAACAGGCACTTGATAAATGGCTGAATCATTGTGGCCTGGAAGGATTTCAGGTTGGCCTTGGAAGATGGCTGAACGTGGGTAAAAACATAAAGGAAAGATAAGAACCTCCCAGAGAAGGAAAATAGGACAAGCCCTCTTCTCTCCCTTTGTCCCCCACAGCAACCCAGCCTCAGCAATCAGTACACACATGATGAATTAACCTGAGCTGGGACCAGAGCAGGCCAGAGAAGGATGTCTATGCTCACCAAACCTGGAGTAACCCAGCGAGAGCTCTGAACCGAAAGTCAGGAAACCTGGGCTCCATGTCCATCTCCATTACTAGCTAGCAAGCCACCCAATCTCCCCTGAGCCTCAGTTTCCCCATCTGCAAAATAAAGGAGTTGGACAAAATGATCCCAAAGGGATCATTTTTAAGATTAGTATCGTAAAGATTCTAACCCACCAGCTGTTCTGGGGTGTGTGCATACTATACCACCTACATGTTCCCTTTGAAAATCTCCCTCCAAATCCAGACCTTTCTTACAGGACATCAGGTCTGGATGTAAACCTCAAGACCCAGAAGTGACTAGAACAAGGTCACACAAAGATTTAACTACAATGTCAGGATTAGAACTCGGATCTTCTGACACGTAATCCCAGCCTCCTCCTACTACACCAGGCTATCTCCTTTGTACTAAGGGACCAAAAAAGCCCCAATAAAAATAATTCTCAGATCTTCATTTATCAGCTGTCAGTGGCAAGGCTACCAGTCCCCAGACCCTTTCCTTACCCCACGCCCAAAAAAAATTTTTTTTAAGTCAACAAACACAAACACATTTAGATGGAAGAGGTACCCGTGTTTACCTGAGTCTGGACAATAGCCCTACTGTCTACACCACACCAAGAACACCAGGATATTTCCGGCGCCTATCGACAGAGGCGGCGTAATTTCAGCCCATTCAGACAGGGATCTGATTTTGATTTGCTTTGATTTCCGGCTCATTTCAAAATTGCTGCTAAAAAACCGACAGGCTCAGAATATCTCCCAGAGCCTCCGGGGAGATCTCACTGACATCCACACTGATTCCTAGAGCAGGTTTCCAAAGACTTTGAAGATCCTTCCTTCTTTCGCTTGAGGGGGTGTGTGTGTGTGTGTGT